CCTTGACGCGAAGTGTTGTTACGTGAAGTGCAGAAATTGATCCCAAACGAATGAATAGCTTCTACTCTTCACATCGTCTTTAAACCGAAAGCAAACTTTGGGAATAGCAAAATTGAAGCGTGTGTGTGAAAGAAAACTTTCGGAACAGCAAAATTGAAGTTGGGTGCAGCAGAAAAGGCATACTTTGCATGTGCTCATTTGACGTTGTCTCCCTTTTTGCTGCATACTCTAGACGCTAGTGGTATTCCTTCGAGATGTGCCCTTACGTGGCTTGGTCCCATTCTTGTCCTGCAGGGAATTCTCTATCAAGCCGTGCTGAGCACTACGGTGACTAGCTTTTGTAGGGTATTATATGGGCAAAACACGTAAGCTGGCACGTGACTTTTGCTGCGACGTTCTTTCTTTCCGCGTTTCGGTTTCTCACCTGGCCTAACTCTATAGAGCCATTTCAAATAGAGTCAAGCACTGCAGCCATGCCCAGCTGCTCAAGGTGCCAGCTTCAACCACAATTCACGAAGCGTCGCCATAATGTAACGCAACCGAAATCCAGCTACGGGCTGCTAGAAAAACGCTGGTATCCGGTTTTAGCAAGCGGAAAGCGCCAGTATTTTATTTTCCGCGCAAGTGACAAAAACGCGCCAAACTTGAAGTCACGTTCAAACCGTAGTGACAGCAGATGATCTGGATTGCGTTTTCAACAGCAATACCACGCCCTCCTAAACAAAAAGTTACAAGGACTAAGATGCCAATTTGCCCTGGCTGCACAGCCAAAATGCCCATGAGAGTAGTGGCAAAGGGAAATGATTGATAACGGACTGACAATACCATTTGTTGATTTCAACTGGCTAATCAGAAGTCCTGAAAATCTGTTTATAGCGCTCCTGCTGAGCCAGTGGCCAGCGCTGATCAGAACCATGCAATCAGCAGTTAACCAGTCGTGAACATATGCACCAAAAAGGTAGGAATGCAGTCCCATAAAGCCGTGCCTAGGCCATGACGATGGACACCAACACCGCTAAGCAGATGTCAAGCTAAATTCACGACAGCCGCGCGACGCGACAGCGCCCGTCAGCCACCAAAGATCTTGCGCGCTCATGACGTGCTCCTACGCAGACCTACTTGTTGCTTGGTAGGTGTGCGTTTAGAGATACCGCACTGCTGGCCATGGGGTGCTGAGGGCGCAGGTGGGACGGTTGACTGCTTGACATGCAGAGAAATCAGTACCGCAGCGTTTGCACTGGTGATTCTTGCGCTTTAACTAGCTTTGATCAATGTGCAGGAAGCTCGAGGTGAAGTATTGTCACGCCGCAACGCAGTTAGCACCTCCAGCAATGAGCAGCAGAGTAACGGCACGCCGCTCCTGCATGAATTCTGGGGCTGCTGCGAAATCCCATAAGTCATTGAGGCCCGGCCTGCCCAAAACAAAGCCAATATGTCAATAGACCGCGTGTGAGTCTAGCTGCGCGTTTTGTTGGTGAAAAACATGGCGCAGAAGAAATGCTACTGAGCGCAGTACAGAAAAAGCAAAAGGACGAACAGGTAAGCGGCTTGAGTGCTAACTGTTTGAAGCCGTTGCCTGCGGCGTTTGTTGTTTAAACCGTCCTTATAGTGTGTTCTCGCTCCAGTTATCGCATTTCCATGTGCTTGCCTGTAGTTATGCAGTAAAAACAGGCGGAATCGAAGCATGGATTGCTCACAAATAAGTCCAAAACGTTTCATTTACAACCATGCACAACTTGTTAGGCTGAACACCCGCAGGCTTTGTCCACAGCATGTCATGGTTCACCCCTGAGGGACCATGCGAATCCCTCCACTAACGCACACGATGCATTTCAGATGAGCACTGCATGAATTTTTGCAGTATCTAGATCCTATAACTGTATGATGACACCTTAGCATGGCCTGTACATGCAAAAATCCGGACATGCAGACTGAACTTCTTGGGTGTCCAAATTATGCCTGGCGAGCAGCGGAGCCAAAGCTTGCGGCCCTGTTCAAGACCTAACATTCACTTTGCAGAACTGACGTACATGAGATTCTGTCTTTGATCTTGTTCTGGAGTCGGACCGCTTTGAAATGTTAATGCATTGTCTCGTCATTCCCGCATGGTTGCAGCTTAACGCCACGCAGTTCCCGCATGGTTGCAGCTTAACGCCACGCAGTTCAACTGTGCAGTATCCGAGCAGTGTAAAAGATGTTGTTGAGTGTCCTGAAGTGAAAATCTTGATGCGTTTGGTGGAATTCTATGTTGATTGATATGCCGTGTTTGCACGTATCCTTTTGTGGTCGTTGGTCTGAGATGCACTGGAAAGCGTTACAGGTTTCTGAGTTGTGCTTGCGCTGAAGCAACCGTCATCTAGCTTTTCTGCTCTGGTACGGGAATCAAGTGAAAAAGACACATTGAAATCAGAGTGAAGATGATCAAGGATATGCCCAGAACACGCTTGAGAACTGCATTTCCCTTCTTGCCCTCCATTGGTTGGCACCAAAGTTGTGAGGGACCTCGCAAGCGACTTACTTGCATTCCTACTTGAAGCTACCTGTACAAAGCCTACGCAGCTCTGAATGCAGAGTAATGGTACACTCTGCGCTTGTAGGCTCTCCTCCTGGGAGAGTCTGTAGAATTGTTCTTAAGCTCAGCTTCGCTCTTGTGTGACCAAACGGCTGAATATGGCGTCGGCCTTAACCGTAAATGTATGATATTTGTGGTCAACACACTGTAAGTGTTGCATCACTATATATGCATATACGTACTCATAATGTGCATGAAGATGGCACACAGATTTCATGTACCTTTGAATACATATCGCTGGCACAGGATATTAGTGCCCGCATATGCTCAATAAAAAAGGGTAGGAAGCTGTGCCAATGACACGACCCAAACCTTGCGAATTTTCCTCCAGCCCAGACCGTCTGTCACTCAAGCTATCAAATTCATTCTGATGCCTTAAGATATGCAGAAACACAAATGCAAGGAGGTTGACTGTCTTATCGATGAAATTCGTTTAGTGCTGCCTTATTGACAGCCACTTCGGAGTCATGGAAGACGTACTTTCTTTTGCTATGTTCAACAGGTTCCCCACCGCGATTTTCTTCAGACACTCAGCTTACAATGTTGCTTTTCAAAGTTCAGCAAGTACTATACACCAGATGCTCTACTTAAAAGGCCATAACTAGGGTCATTAAAGGTCTGGCTGTAGTTGCTGCAGCCTGCGCTGTGGCTCCTCTTGCAGGTCCTCCTCTGGTATCCCACTATAATGCAGGGGCTCCTGGTTTTTGCTGCAGTCCTGTATTTTGTCGAAATGGGGAGCAGTACATTTTGTGGCGCGTCATTGCGGCTGCTGTAGCTCTAGCTGTAAGCAAGCAGGGGATCTTTCGACTCGGCAAGCAGCCATGTAAAGTAGCACTAGGCTTGAATGGTGCTGCTGCCGCTGCTTGCGCTGCTACTGTCCTGACCTGCCAAGATTTAATGGTGCCTTCACAAAGCTAAGCCCGACTGAGGCTTCTGGAAACATGCCCCTTAGGTGTTCTGTGTGCCACACCACTCCAGCTTTGCTCGGGGCTCGCCATAACCCTTGAACTACTATAAGCCGTTCTCCTTGAGGCCAATGCCGTAGATTCAAAACCCACAGCAGAACTAAGTGATTTGCCGTTGCGCGTTGGTGACGGCTTACGCCCTTCGAGGGACAAATGCACATGGCGGTGAGTTCTCGAAGTGCATCTTCCTACTGTGGAAGATAAGGGTTCGGGGATTGTCTTACAGCGAGCAACAAGAAGGCAGATGGAGGGGAGAGCAGAGGGCAGAAAGAAACCAGTGGGCGGGTGCATATTTGCAGCAGCAAAAGTAGTAGCAGCTCCACAACAACAGAGAGACGTTAACAACAGCATTTGCAACGCAGTAACAACGAGTGCTACACCAAAGCAGTAGCATACCGCAGCAGCAGCGCACCAGCAGAAACACCCAGCAGCAGCGAACCTGCCACAAAAGCGTATCCGTAAGTAGAACGGAAGTACGACCACAACAGTAGATTTACGAAAAATTTTTGTCAGCAATACCACAGCAGAAACGGTAGTTGCATCACCACTACAGCAACACTGCTACGACCACAGCAGCAGTAGCAGCAGCGCCATAGCGACATTTCCACAGCGGCAGCACAACCACATGTAGCACAGCCACGGGCGCTGGAGCATAAGAAAAATCGCGTTAGCAGTCCCACTACAATAGTACCGCCAGCAGCACCACACCGGCATCACCACTAGTGGTACTAAAGCATCGCTGCAACGACACAGCAGCACCCTGATCACTACAAAAAAGTGCCACCATGGTTGCAGCACAGCCAACAGAAACGGAGCGTCATCACAGCAGCACGGCCAACGGCATAACAGCGCCGCTGCCAACAAAGGAGCACCGCACCCGCAGCACCACAACTACAGCAGCACCAAGACAAAGCCAATGGAACATAGCCATGCCCAAAAAGCTACGCCATCGCTACAGCAGAACAACCCAAGCAAAAGCAAACCAACTGCCACAGCAGCAAAATCAATACAGCGGCATAGGTACAGCAGCAACAATACAGGAGCAGCGCAGCAGACGCAGCGAAGCAATGGGACTGCCGCTGCCGAACATTCGCTGAAATCAGCGCTCCTGCCAATGCTAAAAAGCCATCGGAGCAATGGCAGCAGTAGCCCTAGAGCAGAACCAGCAGCAACTGTATCTCGGCAGTACTACTGCCTTTACCATTGCAGCAACTCCACATTGGAAGCGATTAAGCAAAAGCAGGAGACCATTAAAAGCAAGCAAACATCCTCGTTGTGCTCGTTCGTTTGTGTGTTCGCTGTTATCTGCTGCTCGCTATCAAGTCTGCTTACAGAACATAAACCTTCTTCCCCTTGGGCCAGGCGGCGCGCGCCCAGGTCGTTTGAGGCTCCCGTGCGGCTGGCTGTGAGGGCCTTATAGCAGGTAAACACGATAAAGCTCACAGCTACGGCTGCGAAAGGCAATGATAGAAGCGCCAGAACAGCAGGATGGTGCTTCCGTGTAAGGCGGTTTGCTTCTTGAGAGAAAAGTAACGGTTGCGGCTGCTCCTGCATTGCAGGCTCAAAGGGCAGCGAAGGGGATTCTGGAACGGGCCGAAGAGCTTTACCTGTTGAGGCTGCTGCTGCTAACGTGGGAAGCAGTGCCGCTATTGGGGGTATGGTGAGAGACAACAGCATCATGGAGCCATACATCATCGGTGCCTTTGGGGTAGAGTTAAGCAATCGAGCGAGATATAGCCTCTGGCAGCAGAAGAGCAAAAAACCGGGATGAAAACAAATGTCTAGGCAAATGAGTGAAACATTGACCTTGATGGCTGCGAGCGACGCCAAGAGGGAACCAAGTGACATTCAACTCCTGCTTGTCGGCCTGTGTCCCCTGTTGTTAACAATTTGCAGAACCCTGCTCTACTCGTGGCATGCACAAAGCTTCTCCAGAGAACTTTCCGTTAATCACGTGAGTCAATTCAATATTATCCAAACCAATCAGGATATATTAAAAAATCTGTGCATGATACTGGGAGCGAAGGCACTGCGAACATACGCCGGCTTCACACTGCGCCTAGCGGGCCTTTGCAAGGCCAGTCCGGCAGCTCCCTGCTGCGCATCTTGCCGTTAATCTACCAAAAAGCAAAAATTGTAATGTTTTGCGTATTGATTTCAAAAGATTTTACGCCATGTGTGTATTTTGCTCCACTATTTAGACCCAGACAACTGTGGCGCTCACTGGAGCACAGCCAGTGCCTCGACTCGGCGCCGAATCGAGCAACTCAACGCATCTGGGAAAACTAGAAAGATATAACAAGCGTCTATGCCTTCAAGTGTCATCTCCTTTATATTTTAGTTGCATGTTGCTTGCATAGAGAACCTAACCCTCGAAAGCTGCACAGGACAGCACCAGGGCAGCATCAGGCGAGGGCTCTCCTAGCTGAAGCATTAAGTTAAGATTTGCACTCTCACGCAGCAAAGAGGGTTCCGCTAGCTTCACATGTAGGCTCTATGGAGTTCTAGTCAGGCCCGAATGAGGCACAATCTGGATGTGAAAGGAATCAGGACGAGTGTGCCTGGAGAAAGGGACGGAGACAAACCGCTCCCAAAGTCAAAAACAGCGGTGAATATCCGAGGAAAAGGTGAAAGCCTCCTTGAAGCAGCTTATTTATGTGGTTGGGGAGTTTCGCAACGCCCCGTATATCACCCGCCTTTGCTGACGACTCACCCACAAGCACTATAGTAGACACCTTTTACGCAGTGAGTGGCATCTGCCCGTGCCCAAATTTGCATGCACAACTATGTCCTGTAGACGCTTCTAGGCTAGCCAAAAGCAGTTCTTCAAGCGAAAGTCATGCGCTAGCCCGCAACTGCAGCAAGTCCCCAAGCTCTGTCGCCTCAGTCACTTGACGCTACCAACTGCACAGGTTTCCTCCATATAGTCAGAATATGATTTTGTTTTGCAGAAAGTAGCACTCCCTGTACTGGAGTATGGTGAGCAAGTCCCCTCAAAGCCCACACAGAATCACTAAGCCTCATGTTTAGCTGTTCTACTGCTGCTGGACGCTACAGGGAACAGGACATAACAGTGCTGCAAGCGGCGAACCACTGCGATACCAACTACCCAGAGTGATACGACTGGCATATATCCTGCAGTGCTCTTTAACCTTTTTGCTCTTTCAACTACTGCGTTTCAATAAATGCTGCGTCCACCGGTAGTAATCCAGTAGCGACAATAACAGAACCACTGCACGCCGCCAGCTCTACAGCTGCAGGCTGTCAGCTCGAAAGTTACCTCCTCCGCGCAGTAGTTCAGCTACCTAAAGCTAGACAGATTGCGAAGCCTGGGCAAACCGCCACTGAATTACCCATGAGCGTCCAGCGTTTCAGGTTATAATTTGAGGTCCAGCTTCGTCCCGCTTTGCTTTGCTTTCCTTCTGGTCCTACTCACCCTGTGATGTATTTCGTCTCTTGGATGTTTGTAGCCGCCAAAACAAACCAAAGCCATGCCCGTCAAAATACGGATAGAATGAAAAGCCTGCGGAAGCAGACCTAGTCTATGTACACGTGCATGCATGAATACGCTCATTTCCGTGCAGCGATACATATACATGGTATATATACATGAGCATATACGCATGCACACGCGTGCGCTCACGGACGTGTGGCTCAGTCAGATATGGCAGCAGGGAGGCGTACGCCTACGCTTGTAAACGTGCCCACTCTTGAATATAGATGCACGCGTATAGTTAAAGTACATAGGTGCGAGTGCATGTAACTCGCCGTAATCCGCGTGACAGCAGGCAAGCGAAGCCGCCAAAGGGCCTGCTGCTGCCGCACGCAGCCGTCGCTGCCCCTGCTGCTGCTGCTGCGCATGTGATCAGCATCCAGCGAAAGAAGTAGGTAACCCCATGGCTGCTAGAGCTGCAGCATCCGGGTTGGATACTGTTTCGTCCGCTGCTGCTGATTTGACTGCGGCCTTTACTGTCCCCACAGTACTTGAACTTCCGCCTCCAGCTGCAGCCGCTGCAGCTGCTGCCTTCTTTCTCTCCTTCTTTCTCTGTTTTTTCAGTTCTTGCTCCCTCTGCAGTTCCTCTATGCGCCTCTTGACCCTGTCGAACTCGTCCTCTGCCTCAGGTGCCCCTCCTTCTGCCCCGTAAGGGGCGCCCCCAATTTTGACGGGGCCGCTCTCTGCCTTTGTCTTCTCTGCTGGCTCTGCTGCAGTGCCCTGACTCTGCCGCAACGCCTGCAGCTTCGCCTTTACCTTTGCCAAGGGGACCCTCTCCACACGCATACTCATCCCTGCACCAAAGAACAAAGCAGGAATGCAGTAATCCTATTGCCCTCAAATAGGATATACCTACACAGATGAACACGCGTCCACAAGCAGCTGTACACGTGCGCCCATACAAGATCCGGTTCACACAAAGCGTAATAAGGGATAATGATAGGTATGAAAATGTACACTAACGCTGATAAATGTAACTAAGTGTACATAGGACGTAGCTAACCTAAAAGGCGGTTGTGGTTCCGGCCGTTGATGTGGTCGAGGTAAGCTTGAGAGTCCTTACAGAGACATTCACAAATGTCACACCAAAACCTGCACGCAAGAACACGACTGCTGGCACCCATACTGTTGTTTAAGCTATTCTTATTGTTGCTGTTGTTACTGCTGTTGCTGCTACTGTTGCTACAGCAGGTGAAGCTGCTGCTTTCGATATTCCCGACAGGCAAGAATAAGTGGATTCAGTGGAACACGAATACGTGCAAATGGAGCACCGTACCCTCCCTGCTGCATCCTAGGCGTCTGTAGCGTGACCATCTTGGTGCGGCCCACCTCCCTCTCAAAATCGAGTTTGAAGGTCCTCTGCTGCAGCTGCTGACGATAGCCGCAAGGCGGCAAGGGGGGAGCCTTAGGCTTCTCTTTCGGCTTCGGGAGAAGCTCCAAAATGGCATCTACACCTGTCAGTGCCTTCTCCCGAGCCTTCTCAGAGTAGTACTCCTTGTCCCACACCTGGCAGCACGAGCAGAAGAACCAAATGAAACCGCCCAAATGACAAACCTGCTAAGACTGCCAAAAAGCAGAGCGACCAGCAACAGTAGTGCGGGAAAAGGCGTCAAACGCTCAAGCCACAGCTGTCACTTCGAATCACACGAAATGCGCTCAACGCCGAGCACCAGCGGCAGCAACTGCAGAAGCTACGGCTGCTACGGGCGGCTACTGCAGTTTGTACCGTTGCTACTACTCCTCTCAAAGGCAAGAGGGCATCGTAAAACTGCACTTGCGCCTAAAGCCATCATTGCCCGGACCAAATTCTCTTGCACTGCATCACTATGGACTGTCGCGGCAGTGGCAAGTAACCCTACTAAGTGAACCACTCATGCTCTTGCTCCCATTACAGCTGCACAACCTTGAAACATTCCTGCCTCACCCGACGCCCAAGTGCGTCTGTCCCGTCTTGGGGTCCTGCGCGCTCCGCTCCATTTTTCTGACGTGCTGCTTCAGTTGCTGCCGTTGCTGCTGCCGCTACGGCTGCCCCGGCTGCAGCTGCAGCAGTAGCAGCAGCATTCCCCGTGATGAGCGCTATGCGCTGAGACGCTGCAGCGACAGCCTCTGAGGCGTTGCTGTGCTGCTGCTGCTTCGGTTCCTGGTGCTGCTGCGTCTGCTGGGCGAGGCCCCTCCAGTCAAACCCGCCAGTATCGTCCTCATCATTATCTGCTGCCGCTGCTGCTGCTGCCGCCGCTTTTCTGCTGCTCACTGGAAGCGGCATGTCCTCAGGCAGGGCGCAAGGCTTTAAAGTAGACAGCAGATCAGGGGCTCCTGATGAACTTCCGGCGCTACCCCCTGCCCCTTGCTGCTGTTGCTGCTGCTGCACTCCCATATGTGGGGGTGGCGGCATCATCATCGGCAAAATATTGTGGGAATGCATCTTGCTAAGTCCCGCTGCTGCGGCTACTGCAGCCGCAGCGGCAACTGCAGAAAGCAGCGGGGTCCGCTAGGGTCTTTTCAGAAAGTCCCGCAGCTGCACTTGCAGCTGTTGCAGAAATATTGAGCGATAGGCCCTGGTATCTACTTCCATAGGATCCTGCATCCAAGCCCGCCTGCCCTACTGCTGCTCTTCGTGCCGTTGTTGCTGTTGGTGTGGAAGCGGACCAGGACTTTGGTGTTTTACCTCACAGGCGCGGAAGTAAAACCCAGAGTTAAAAATAGACAAGTGGAAAACGTAATTTAGTGCGAAAGTGACGATGGTCAACCAGCCAACCACCGCTTTGCATGCACGGCATACTGCCACCGCTGCTGCGAAAACTGTTCCGGAAGCTCTTGCCGCTCTTGAAATTTTGAAGGCAATGGCATTGGAGTGTATCCCTTAAGTTTGATGTCTTATGCTAATATGGGCAGCTTATAGTCCTTCGTTTCAAGCTGCTGCCATGGCGTAGGATGCTCGTGTTGGTGCTTGTGGTCCACTGGGGCAGCTGATCTGTTCCGGCAGCAGCCATATCAGTCTTAGATTTGTGGACAGCTTTACTAGGTATAGTGTGGCTTATTAAGATATCTGTGCTCTCTTGCCCCGATGCTGCAGGGCGCCAACACAGTATCGACGCCCAGCTTGGGCCGTGGGTGTTGCTGTTGTTGGTCGCGTCAGCCGCAACAGCAGCAGCAGCATCTACTGGATAAGCAGCATATGCTGGTGCAATGGGAGCGCTAATATCGGTGCTCGAAGCAGCAGCAGCGCGGGCAACACCGTCAACCAAGAACACGTAACAGCATATCTCACTGAAAGCTGCTACTCAGCTATCCTTCGCATCTGTTGCTTAAGCTGAATGTTTACCTGCCTATGTACACTGACTGTCGCACTGACGCCGCTCTGCTACACTTCAGTACTTCTGTGTCCACAGAGCGCGTTCTCAACGAGTTACACTTTAGTACAAAAGGGTCTATGCAAACCGAAGCAGCGTTAGCTGCGGGCTCGTCGCACAGAAGAGCAGCCGAAGCAACGTGCAGCTGGGACTGCTGTTACTAGTGCGGTTGCTGCTGTGCTGTCGACTTCGCTGCTATCTCTAGTTACAACTGTTGCTCAGCCTTGCTGCTCGCTGCACCCCCATTTCTGCTGCAGTTCAAGCTACTCACTGCTGCTGCAGTTTTGTCAAGACCAGGTGCTGCTGTTGTATGTGCTGTTGAAGCTGCAAGTTGTTGCGCTGCGTCTGCCACTACCCCTCGTCAGAACTGCTGCAGCCCCGCCGCTTCTTTGTTGCTGGTTCCTTGCAAGCGCCAACAATCGCTGCTGCTTCAGCAGCTGCTGCAGCTGCATGCGCGTCACCTCCCCAGTCACCCTTTAACCGTCACAACACCCCAATCAACGAAATGCAGCTAATAAAGGGAACAAATAATGCAGATCGACTTAATTTGCTTAGGGCCCCACAGGTAGTCTGTTTCCTTCTACACACATCTCCTCCATCTCATCCTTGCTGATGGTCACGAGCCTTATCATTCCCCCTGAGCTGCCATCTCTGTGAATTGCGTGTGAGACTGCCCTCTTCACTAAATTGACCGTCTCCTCCTTCGTCATATCGGGCCGGTAGTGCTCATCGAGGTAGGCCGTAATGAACATAGAGCCCGAGCCCCCCGCCGTGTATGGCACAGGGACGCAGCAGCCGCCCAAGGGCACTGAGTATACCTGGGGACCCCGCTGGCTGTCCCAGCCACCCACTATAAGGCCGGCCGTCAGCATGTCCTTGTACTCGTAGGCGAGCCTCTGCAGCAGGTGGGCAGCAACGCGCACCTGGGCCTCCCTGTTGAACTGGGGAGGCAGCTGCTGCGTGTACAGCTCCAGGTGCAGCCGCACTATCTGCGCCAGCGTCTGGGTATCAGCAGCACTTCCACTGCGGCACACGCAGATCCTATCCGCCAGTTTCGTTATCTTCCGCGCAGCTCTGTTCACTACGTAAGAGCCAGCTGATGTGCGTGTGTCCGCGCCCAGCACCACGCCATCAGAGTAACAGCAAGCCACGATAGTCGTGCCCGTCTTCACCTCTGCTGCTGCGGCACTAGCCGCGGCTGCTGCGGTGCAGGGGTCGGCGGTGGGAAAGGAGAGGGTAGGAAGCCCGTCGCTGTCGAGTACCACCTGAGCCATGGTGAATAGTGGGAGCGAGGGAGCGAAACAGACGGAGGAGTCCGGGCACGTTGCGGCCGACACAGGATGAATCGGAAAGAAACACAAAATTTATATAACAAAACGGCTCAATCTTTCAAAGATATACAAGGCCAGCTACAGAAATGCAAACAGCAGCAGCGCATGCAGCGGCAACCAAACGAGCACGAGGAGGTCGCTAAAGCATGTGATGAAAAATCAGGGATACATAAATATAGTCAGTTTAATGCATGACTTTATTTGAATTCAATGTAGCAGTTTTCTTCCAGCTTTTGGAACCAAAACACACAAGACATAACGCTGCAGCAAGCGGCAGTGCCTTGAGGGATGCTCCTTGAGTACAGCCTCTGGCGTTCTGAATACAGCAATTATCGGGGAAACGCAAAAAAGTCTAAATAGTTTCAAACTTTTCGCTCTTTTGTTTAGGTTAGATTCTCTTGTCGAATTCTTGTCTAGGCAAAACTGCAGTTGCTCGGCTTTGGGTTTCTTGCGTAATGGGTTTTACAATTCTAATAGTGTAGCTGGCTATTACAGAGCAGAGGGCTAAGTACTCACGTGTAGCAAGCGCAAACAATTCCAGTTGCACACGCAGTTCCTTCTCTCCGCTAGGTCTGTAGCCACGCATGCATATACTTGTACGTGTATTTGCGGTGCTCCGATGGGAGAGCTTTTCGTGGTTCAGTCACGGCTTAGGCGCTTAAACATTACCCGTTCTAGGATCTAGGGTAAAGGCCTGTGGTGGCCTGTCGATGGCGTTGACTAGCTAGAGAGCTGGCGGCTAAAACGAGCACGGCATGTCTCAACAGGTAACATACTGGCAAGTAAAGCCATCGTTGAATTCATAGCCACGGGAAGGCCTGTACTTTAACCCCTGGTTCAAAGCAGGGCCAAGACACGTAGGGTCAGCACTGCACTGCACGCGGCTCAAGCACCAACAGCTGTAGGAAGATGGAAGCGTTCGCTCCAGGCAGTTGCGTCTCGATCGGGAAGAGCCGCAGCGCATAACGGTCCCACCGTAGGTGCCTGCTTAGCATTTGCACGGCTGGCACCGATGCTGCGGGAAGCAATGCAGCTTTGGTGCACCTTCCAGTATTGCCTCCCATCACTGTTCCTGCTGCACTTATCTTCTGCGGTGCCTCTGATTGGGCCTACTAATTGTTTAGCTTGAACCAGGTCAGTCTAGAATTCCTCATGGAGTGCACTCGGTAACACGGTTCCTACGGCTTAGCAGAGCCTTTCCCTACGTTTTCTGCACCACACTGGAGGGCTCATGCTTGTAGATGCGAAATGGCATACACCTCTGTGGAGATGCATATAAGCGCTTCTCCCCAGCATCTAAATGAGCTAACAGTGCTTCCAAATGTATATCTGCTGATGCTGTAGGAATACATTCTGCATAATAACAAATACGCGGGCACAACTGTGTAAAAGTATGTGAGCCACTGTGCACGCAGGGATATTTGAATGACCAACTGTTCACTTAAACAAGTGGAAAAAAACCAAAAACGCTTTAGTTAGCTTAAACACTTTCAGTTTTTTATGGCTGTTTCAAGCGACCCCCACTGCCCACTGTTACCTTCCGCCAGCTGATCACACCTTGCCAGGTAGCGAAATCCAGCTAACTGGACGCAACTCGCTGGATCTCGCTGACTAGAGGAAGCTCGCTGCTGCAAGCAGCAACAAGGCGCTCTCCTAGATGCCCCTCACAGTCGTTGGCTGGCCCGGGCTGCCCAAGGCTAGCTGTGGATAGCTAGAGCTAGCTGTAACAGCTAGCTAGAGCTAGCTGTAACTGAATGTGTCCGGCAGTGTTGCCCTGCAGAGCCATGAGTGCAGTCTACTACACGTCTGCACAAGCAGACATCTAGAAACAGCAATATACATATATGGGCGCATGCACCAAAGCACGTATGGGCTCGTTCTATATATATGATACATATTTTATATATAATATACGTGAATAACGCATATACGAACCATGTATATCCGTGCGTGCGTGTGTGTGTGTGTGTGTGTGTGTGTGTGTGTGTGTGTGTGTGTGTGTGTGTGTCTGTCTGTCTGTCTGTCTGTTTGTCTGTCTGTCTACCCTAAGCAGGTAAGTTCGAGAGATGAGTGTACACACACGCACGCAGTCTATGATGTTCACGTCAGAAAGGCATACATGCAGCTGTCCATACGCTCAATTGTACGTGGCGTGTTTCTAGTAATGCATATCTGTACAGTGTTTGTGAAAACTGTGAACCTCTACACTCGGCTGATTCAGCTGCTGCCTAGTGGCAATAGCCCCTGCAGCAGCCGAAGCCACCGTTGCGTAAAGGGCCCCCTTGAAGTAAAACCTGCTGCCATTGCTCCAGCTGTTGCTGCCAGTGGCCTCTAATGCTGCAGCCTGCTATTGCTGCGGCTGTCAGGAATTTCTGGTGCGCCGACGGAAGAAGTACCTTGCTCCTGCTGGTGCAGCTGGTGCAGCTGGTGCAGCTGCTCGTGCTGCTGTGGCTCGGAAGTCTGCAGCAGCGGACTGGTATCACCCGCTTTGGCCGCAACAGCAGCCTCAGCGTTTGCCGTTGTAGCTTTGTCGCTGCTGGCGCTGTTGCTGTTTCTGCTGCTGCCGTTTTGTCACACTCTCGCGGTAGGTGGCAGCAGCCGCAGCAGGATCTCCAAGATTCTTGGTACAACAAAGTGCAGTCACCAAGCTGCTGCGGCCGCTGCTGTATTCAGTTGGTCAGCGATAGCAGAGAGCCAAGGGAAGTGTGCGGCAGGACGAAAATGAGAAACAGCAGCACCACCGCTGCTGCAAGCCATAGAGATTGCTGCAACAGAAACGGCAGCAGCGCAACAGCAAACGCATACAAGCAACTCGAAGTGAAGATCCCCCAACGCATTGCACCGACGGCATTCCCCTGCACAGCATCTGTCACTGTTGTTGCTGCTGGTGTTGCTTGTGCTGCGGCCGCTGCATCATCATACCACAGCTTCCAGCCACAGAGTGACGGGAGCAAATGCCACTTTCAGTAATCGCAGCACAGCAGTAAGAAACAGCAACTGCAAGCAGTAGCAAACGACTATGGCGAACAGCAGCAGCAGATAGTAGCAGCAGCACCCGCAGCGGCACTATACCTTCAGTGACTGTTTGCGGTATTTGTGGGCTAGCAGCAGATCAGTGCAAGCAGCAGCTGTAAGCTGCTTCGTTTGTGTCGTCACGCCATCTAGCTGCTGCTGCTGCTGCTGTCGCTTCTGCTGCTGCTGCTGCAACATTGTTGCGAGCTGCTGCAGTTCCTTGAGCTCTGCACACACGCAGCATCAGCGGGGGCGCGCGGGATCTAGCAGCAGCAGCAAACCGATTAGGAGCTGAAGCCGCGGCAAAAGCAGCTAGACCAGCATGGAGCAATAGCTCCATGCTGGTCTTGCTTCTCCGGCAGGGGGCGCCGACGACAAGAACTTTAATCGCTTCTGCAACTGTCGCTGGTGCCGTCGCTGCTGCTGCCGCTTACTCTCCTCGAGCTGCAGCAGTTTGCTGCGTTTCTCTGATAGCTGATTCCCCACAAGACCCTGTGCACGCACGGCACAGCAGCCGCACAGCAGCAGAACACGCACACCAGCTATAGTTGGCACTGTTGCTGTAGTTGCAGTTGTTGTTGCTTTTTCACGGTGCTGCTTTTGTTGCCGTTGCTGTGGAGCATGATGGTAAGATAAGTTCGCCACTGCAACCGGCGGGAAAGAAACATGCTGCTGTAGGGCTGCACTTTTTGCCGTGGCAAAAGTTCCCAGTTTGTGCCGCTGCTGCTACTGTTGCTGCTTACCTGTGTGATCTGCGGGTTCAGGCTTGAACCGGGCCGCAAAATATTCGCCAAATCCGCAGTGGGGGAATCAGCAAAAGCTGCAATGGCAAGAACGGCGAATGCGACTTGTACTCACAAGCTGCAGGCTTGCATTCATATACGTTTATAAAGACATATGCACGCACAAGTACATATAAGTATGTACATCTGAGCAAATCGGCAAATCTGCACGGGTACAAGCGTGTGGTAGGGTACAGAGGCACGACTACCAAGCAGGGTCTACTCGTCTTCTGCTCATTTATCTGAACACCAATTCCCAACAGCAGCAGAACTCAGGGCAGCCCCGAAGTCAACAGCAGCAAGAACACAACTAAGACCAAAAGAAGCAGCGTCAATGGGAGCAGAAGTCACTGAGGTCACCAGCCGCACCAGCAGCAGCAGTAGCGGTAGCTGGACAATCAGGGGGCGGAGGCAGCAACAGCAGGAAAACTCACAGCTTCTAATATGGTCCGCGGCCTCCAATAACCATCTGGCGTTTGCTTCTTGCTGCAGTTGCTGCTGGAGCAGCAGCGCCTGCTGGAAGTCTGAGCACTGATGCTTGAGGACGCTGCGGCGGATGCGGAGCTCTGCTGCTGCAGCAGCTAGCTGCTGCTGCTGCTGCTGTTGCTGCCAATGTGGGAGCAAGCATGTCACCGGGTCCTGCTGCTGTTGCTGCTGCTGCTGCTGCAACTGACCCTCCGCCTCCAGAATGTCTTCCTGCTGCTGTTGCAGCCTCGAGCTGCACTGCTGCAGCAGCTGCTGGAGCATCTCGATCTGCAGAAGTACGACGCAGCTGCTGTACTGCGGTTGCTGTTGCGCGTCTGCTGCTGCTGTAGAGCACCAGCAGCAAGGGGCATCTAAATCTGGAGGCGCCAACTGCGGGTGCAACAGCAGCAGCTGCAGTGTTTGCTGCTGCATCTCCATGGTTTGCGTCAGAGACATCTTGAGGGTCTTTGAAGCTCTTAGGAACTGGACGAGAGGAGAGACACCGCTGCTGCTGCTGCAAGTCGTAGGGGCAGCAGCAGCAGCAGCAGGGGACGGCAACATCAGCGCTTTCTCTGCCTCGAGCTCCTTCTCTGGCGGCTCGAAAGATGATGCAGGCGATAAGTGATGCACTTCAACACCAGCAGGCGCCCAGACGCCTTCGGCAGTCGCAGCCGGTATGCTGTCAGACACAGAAAAGGGAGACCCTGTTAGCACGGGAGAGCCGGGCCCCGGCCAAACGCCCTCGGAGGGCGCAGTTGACTCACAGGGCCCACCTTCTCCGCTCCAAACAAAGCTGCTGACCGTGCTTGGGGCCTTGGAAGCCCCGACTTCAAAATGCTCCTTCTGGGGGTGCCAAGAGGGCGCAGCCTCAGGCCGGGGCCGCCATAGGGTCTCGTGGGGGGCCCCTGTGAGCCCTGCATCAACTCTTGGGTCTCGTGGGGTCCCCTGGGGGGAACCAATAGCAAGTCCCTCCTGACCAAAGCGCCAGAAAGCCTCGGAGCCGGGCCCCTGAGACGCTTGGCGGGGATCCTTAGAATGTGCTACGGGGAGCGATGAGGGGCATGTGAGGGGCCCCTGGGGAGCCGAGGAGGCCCCACTAGTAGTCCACTCCTCGCTCATTGCCTTGTTTTCTACAGCTGCTTATTTGCTGCTGCGCTGCGTGCAGCAGTGCGGAAAGCGGCACGTGGCCCCCCTGCAAGGCAAGGGCTGCTCACGACCCACTGATCCACAGCAGTAGCACAGAGGCCTGTGGGGGAAAACGAGAGCTTCTCGAGCTAAAAAATAAAGGAAGAGCAAAAACTGAACTAGAAAAGGAAAAGAGGGAGAAAAGAACAGGCGAGACTGGGCCTGATAAGAACGTGGTAGAGGTAACAGGCCTCCTCTGCCCCTACTGCGTGTACTGATGCTGCTAATTGACCTCACAGCGATGAAACAAGCCGATGTTAAGGTTGCTAAATATCAAACATGTTTTTAAAAAGAAATATGAAGAGGTGGGCGCAAGACGCATACGGGCAACAACCAACCCTCCAAACGAGGGGCCCCTCATGCAGGTACGCTGTTGCATATGTCAGAGGCAGCAGCACCTGCAGTGGCTGCAACGGCAGCAACTTTTACCCAGATGTGTGTACAGTAACGAGCCTATGCAATATTTTAACTGAGAATTCCCAGTCTTGGCAAGGCAAGGGCTGCTCACGACCCACTGATCCACAGCAGTAGCACAGAGGCCTGTGGGGGAAAACGAGAGCTTCTCGAGCTAAAAAATAAAGGAAGAGCAAAAACTGAACTAGAAAAGGAAAAGAGGGAGAAAAGAACAGGCGAGACTGGGCCTGATAAGAACGTGGTAGAGGTAACAGGCCTCCTCTGCCCCTACTGCGTGTACTGATGCTGCTAATTGACCTCACAGCGATGAAACAAGCCGATGTTAAGGTTGCTAAATATCAAACATGTTTTTAAAAAGAAATATGAAGAGGTGGGCGCAAGACGCATACGGGCAACAACCAACCCTCCAAACGAGGGGCCCCTCATGCAGGTACGCTGTTGCATATGTCAGAGGCAGCAGCACCTGCAGTGGCTGCAACGGCAGCAACTTTTACCCAGATGTGTGTACAGTAACGAGCCTATGCAATATTTTAACTGAGAATTCCCAGTCTTGCGCTAAGAACGGTTGCACAGGGCTCCTGCTGCAAAGAGGTGACAAGAAGACATGCAGGCCAAGCAGCAACAGAAATACCAGCATCGGCACCTGCAGGAGTAGAGGTCAATTATGTGTCCTGATTTCAAAATGTCGATTTTGTTAAACGCAGCTGCTCGCAGCGCAGTCCGTGGAGGGGTTGTATCACACTAGATTGTAGGACTCAAAACCCCAACTGAGCACTAAGTGGGAAGCGCTAAACTTCAATAGCCCTAAACCTGCATCACAGGCTCTGTGAATAGTAGAGCAGCAATAACAGCAACACATAGCACGAGCGCGCAGCACGTTGTATGGTCCGCTGCAACACGTCAACAGTCCCGGGTCCATATTGGCGGGATATCCGGGTTTCCTCAAGATTAACGAGACACTTTTCTGCTTGAAAGCTACTTGGCTGTGCTTATGATATCTCCAAAGATAGCTTAGAGCTTCCTGAAAACGTTGCTTTGCCTCTGGTGATGCCGAGCTCGGTGGGAGTGAGTTTAAGAGAATTAGAGAGCTGACTTGCACTACGAGCCACTAAAGACAACTAGGGGAGTACAAGGGTATCTAAGGGTCTTTTGCTCTCTCTAAGGGCTCTTCCGCTGTGGCTTCAGTGCTGCGAGTCAGTGTAGCATGCGCGTTTATTCCTCTTCAAAGCCATGGTTCAGAGCGCAGCAACAAATTAGCGAGCCACGCAATGCAAATGATAAGAGCAAACAGATATAAAGAAGTCCACAGAATCACAGGCAGGCACAAGCACAAACAGGCGAATCTGCGCATAGGAATGCGTGTGCCCACAGTATATAACGATTACACGCGCCTTTGTCGTAAAGTAAGGGATGGCACCACAGGTTGCCTAACACATCTGATAAGATTTACCTGGAGCACTTGCTCTACTATGTGACATACAAAGCTTCCATCTTGTGCGTATTCTGCATGTTTGGATACAGCGTGCGTTTGAATCAGCTATTTTTTTATTTGCATTGCGCACGAGCAACAATGTTTACTTATACGCGCACGTACATGTGTGTGCAACTTCTTTTGCTACTACTGAATTTGGGGCATACAAGCGGGTTCTGGGTACAGACAAACGCTGTGGCTATTTGTGGAAGCTGCAGATAAAGGGGCGACGCGTAACGAGCGTTAGCTAGAGACAGCTAGCCACGGACAGGTCTTGAAAATTTATTTTTTCTACGCTTATGTTTCAAACCCAGTAAATTTTCAGTGAGGCCACTGAGACCCTGCCCTGTGCAGCACAGGCAGCTCGTTACTAGTAACCGTTCATGCGCTAGACCTTTTGCAACGCAACTGTACTGAGGTGGTGAAGGCCCTGTATGAGCTCCTCTGGACCTCAGGTGGTCTTCGATGAGTTCCACAGGCCGTCAGGTCTCGTTAACAGAGTAGTCCAGGGGCAGGTGGCTCAGAACTCCCAGAAATAAGTGGCAGGAGCCCTTCTAACGCCTCCTGCTGTTGCTGTGGTGGGCCAAGGCACCAAGAATTCTAGCTGCATGCAGGCTTCAAGTTTCATAATTCAAAATAAAACAGAAGAGAGTTTCCGAGAGAGGGAAATCAATGAAAGACTTCAGTGAGTGGCCTTATGGGGGTCTCCTTTCCTGAATCGCTGCAGGAAGCGCCAGGATGGGCATGCTAATCAGGACTCTTGAAGCCAAGGCGTCTCCTAAGCGCCTTTAAAAGATACTGGACTGCCAACTAGGCTCCAAGAGTTCAGACTTTAGGCCTGCGGGTTTGGGAACGTAAGTTCATGGGTTGAAGCCTGTGCTCAAGGGTTCAGGGTATGGGTTTGACAGTTCAGGCGCCAGGTCGCTGAGGGACTTGATGAACTCGTCGCCGTTGCCAGCTTTAAAGTACTTCAAGAATATCTGCACTACTCTCCTAAAGCAGCAGCAGCAGCAAAAACTGCAGCAGCGTTTGTGATGCGTGTACGGGTACGGCAGAACCATTGCTTGCACCAGTGTTGCGCCGAGATGCAGCGGCAGCATCAGCAAAAACAACAGCAGCAGCAGCGGGGACAGTGCAGGCAACAGCAAGAGAGTCAACGTACTTCCACAAGCTGCTCAGGGACCAAAAAGCACAGCAGAAGCCACTGCAGCCACAGCAGCAGTCACAAAAACAGCAGCAGCAGCAATGCTTAGGGCATTTTACTGACTCATCCTTCGCTTCGGCTTGTTTCGAAAGAAATAAAAACTGGTTCTCGGAGAAAACCCCAGTTTCCTTCAGGTCCCTTAAAACCTCCACCAAGTCCTCATGACTGTACAGAGGAAACCATCAAAAGCAGCAGTCACAACAACAGCTTTTTATCCTAGGTACTTTAGTATCAAGCTGCTGTAAATGCATTTGCAACCATAGGCATGCGCGCTGTTACATTTCCTCCTCAGTTTCTGCCTCCCATACTATTACGTAATTTACTTATGTGCTAATTAATTTTTCAGGGTACTCTCTACGGATTTGAATATCGTCGCAAAGCGGATATATCAATGCACGGATATCTGCATGTGATGAATAATTGTGTGCGCACATGGGTGCACAAAGTTGAACAAGTAAATGAGCACATGTGAGTGCGTGCATATGCTTTTGAAGAATAGTAGTTAGTGTGCATACAAATATATATCTGTATGCTTCTACATACTACATAGACGCATATGTGTGTATGCATGCCTAGTAAAATACATGCATATTCACATACATTCGCAGTAAGCACATGTTCGGTAAGAACCTCTAGATACATGCATTCATTAATAGAATTTCACACAGAATGCTATATTTATGTACATGTATGAATTTGTATGCATATTAACGTGCGTGCAAGCACAAAGGCATCCATGCGCTTATGCAGGCAAGTAGATGTGTATTCATCTATCTATCCATCTAGCTATTTACATATACGCATATGCATGCACAAATGCTCATAAACCCAAGTTGAAGTATGCGCGGGTGCGAAAACTAGCGAAACCAAAACAAAAGCGAACATTGCGAATCACAACTCCTCCGTCCCAGCTCACAGCTTCTCAGCATCGTTCAATTTGCGTAAAGGTCCCGCAGAGTACGTCACAGGGCTCTGTGACTCCCTAAAAGCCTCTTGCGGACCTGCAGAGGCTCCTGGTGAGAGTCTCAGGGCCTCGTTCGCGGGATCGCTGCTCCCTGGGAAGACGGTAAGAGCGCCCAGCGACTCATTCAGAAGCTGCTCGCCTGAAGGCGCATGCGTGCGGTGCACACGACTACAGGCAGACTGCTTTAACTGCTGCGTTGCATTCAAGTGTTGCTGTGTGCGAGGTTTGGCTGAATTACATTCTATCACTAATGGACTTTGTCTACAGATCTGCCAGCAAACGTCTACAGGCGCTTACAGGCAAGCTTTTGCCTACAGGCACGCATATTCTACAGAAGTGTATGCATGCACACATATTCAGATACATGCGCATAGGCCTGGGACAAAATATATAGCAGCATTTCACACCTGTGCATAATGAAATTGAAGGAAGTGCATGATCATGTGCCAATATGCATACATGCACTTGAACGCACGCGTAAACATCAAATAATGAGCATGAAGACCAAAACAACGCCAGATCCGCATAACTGCCCGGGTTGATTGCCGCAACCCGCGAGCCAGTTCATATATGGAAGTGTGTGCGTGTGTCGTTTTGTTCGTTTGAAAGCAAACCTTTTTCTTTTGCCCAGCAAAAATGGGCCTTATTCATCAGACACCGTTTTTCGCTTGCAACCGTCACCTGAGTGGACCTCAAGGGCAGCTCCTCTGTCACGGTGGTGCTCATGTTAGGGGCCCCGATTTGAGAGCTTCTAATCTGGGAGTCCTGTACCGGAGGGCCCCCTGCTTGAGTAACAGCGGTCCACGGCCCCAAGCAGCGACAGTAGCATTCGCAGTCTAAGCATTTCGGGCAGGTGCAGTAACAGCAGAACTGCCGGCCTG